GCTAAAACCAAACCAAAGAAGCCCTCTCTCATCCGCCAAGGACCTTTTCACTGGCGGACGATTTCCACCCGTGAACTTGGCCGAATATCCGCGGCCCGCCCATCAGAGACCCATCTGTCATGGACAAACGGGCTCTTACTGCATTCGATCAGGACATCCATAGTTGCCCATTTGTATACCTTTAGAGAGAGACAGAGAGAGAGAGTACTATCTGCGAGGAGTCGGGCACGCCATCTTGGACCGAAGGTAAATCCTCAGTTCACAGCCATCGCCGGCTACTGCAAACACGCCAGATTTCTCATCGGCCACGATACACGAGATGCCTCCCCCACCTGATCACACGGAAAGAGTATTAAAAAGGAAATATGTCTAAACACAATTTACGGTATGCTTTTATTAGTAATGAACAAGAACATATGATATTTATTAATAATGTAGAAATTCTAAAAACTTATCGCACAAAAAAAGAAGACCCAGGGCGAAATAGATATTTCCGTCAGAAATTTTAGATCAGGTAGAATGGGCAAACAGCTTAAGAACCAGATAGGAGTCCACGAGATCCCTTCTCAGAATAGGTTGACTCACCGCCGGTAAATGGGTGAAGATCTGCTAGCTTCGTTCCAGTGGTCAACTCCCACATGTACACATGGCCGTCGCTCATTCCAGCAATCCCCAGGTCAGATAATGCTCCGACAAAAGATACCCTATAAATATAAAAAAAAAATGTTCTTCGATAAAAATGAAGGTATAAAGATATAATAACAACATACCATCGGAGTCGTTGAAGGGGAGAGGGAGAACCACTTGGAAAAATACCGAGCATCTAACACGCCGCCAAGGAACAATCCATCGTTGACCAAGAGGCCGAGCCTCCACCCTGCTGAAGAGCCGTCCGATTCCTTCTCTAATCGGTGGCCGTGGACGAGGAACCAGATAGCAGCACGTTCCCCAGTCGGAGCGGCACCAGTCTTACTGACTTCCACATTGGTCAACCACCCCACAGGGAGAACCTGGGAAACCACATCCCCCAGAGTAGAAAATTTGGACAGCTTGATCCTCTTGGAAACGTCCCTAAAAGGGAAAACAGAGTGCTTCCGGATGAGCAAAGAAAAGAGGAGACAAAAGCAGGTGTTAACTGGATTCCAGGGCCTGGATAACGCAGCAGTCCTAAATAAGGAAGGTTGACCGTGTGATGTGCTGGTTCAAGAAATCAGGCCCCTTATTTCACCTTCCCCAAATGGGTACGATACGAGAAATTACTGAAAGAAAGTAGATGAGATATGCTGCAAGGAACCACTTACCACAAGCAGAACCCTCCGGCACCATCATGGCCGACGATGATCGAGGCACATTTTGGTATCTGTTTCAGCTCTATCGCTGAAGGTTCCATGGAATCAAAGCCAGGTAGGATGAATTCTTCCTGACTTGATCTGAACAGGTGCAATATCACAATAAGTGGCACAACTCTTAGCTGTAGAGAAAAGGTAATACGAACCTACGCATGCCATTTCAATAAACTTCTAATTTTCTGCAAATATCCTGGCATGAAACTTCCCTTGTAATATATATTTATCTATATGGAATTTTGGAGTTACTAGCAAGTACGAGCGGCGTTTTCATGAAACTCGTAGAAAAAAATCATGTTCAGGAGCAGGTCAGGAGAGCCCGCCAACAAATGGAATATATTTTTTGCTTGGATTGGGCAGATACAATCTCTTAAACTGTCCAACGAATCGTCTCTAAAATGAAAATCATTTAGCTTTTTATTCTTCTGACATGCTGTCATGAGAAAATTAGTGAAGCACTGGGACGCACACACAAAGTCAACGAGTGCAAGATTGTTACCCGTACAATACATGAAACTGTAAGAATGCACACGATGCCCAATCTGGGGATCATACCAATAGTAAGAAAGACCTGTTAAGGCTAGCTTTGACATGACAGGCTAGAAGTCAAAATTCATTCCTCATAGCAACCAAGATCTGATGGTAAGCTATGACGAATACTGAGAGATGGAAAGATAGCTCCAAAAAGAGAGACGACATCTCCAAATTATTACCTCCACGACGGGTTCATTAGCCATACAAGCAGACTCCCACTTTCTTCAACTGCTAGAAGATGATTACTTTCACAAACTAATATGCAATAAATGTTCTGAACTGTTTTCAACTTGCTCACTGTAGACACATAACCAAGCTCCAAATGAACGATGTTTATAGCGTTATTCTCACCGCAGTCCAACTTGCAGATAGAGCAACGACATCTGAATTTTTTCTCCCTGAAAATTCATAATTAAAATTAGTTATTGACATACGGCACAGCTGCACTCCCTGTGATGATCAAGATGGTAAATGACCTGCAGGAAGGTGCCTTGATACCATTAGAAAAAACAAGGTACTCGCCATCAGGAGTAAATTGTAGGCCACATCTTTCGATTGGAATCTGGTAAGACGGCGATAAGTTGTACATAAAAATACTGAAAATGAGATGTATATTATGAAGAAAGCACCAATGAAAGGCTCCAGGATCAACAATGAGATAGCGTACGCTTTGATGATGGCCATTTTCTCGGATAGGAAACATAATCGATGTGTATCCAAGAAAAGATGGGAAGTTTATCTCTTTTTTCATGGGAATCTGGTAGACGAAAATGACCCCTTCAGCTCCTTCGGATGGGCCACACAAGGTGCAGACGTGTAATGTTCCCTCCTTGACATTCAGCAATATAGACCGAATACAGTGTGGATGCAGATAACAACCAATAAGCTCTACAAAGTCTTCAAGCTGCTCGTCAGGTTTCATACTTACAGAAGAAGAACCAAACAATGGCTGAGCCTCAGAAAGATCCAGATAAGAAAAATCATTTGGACGGTCACTGGCAACGTACTCTATAGGCAATTCCTGACCAGAACAAGACAAGTCACTGGGATTACTTTCATCAAATGCCTGCTTTCTTGAGACTTGAAGAACTGGGATTTGTTCATGACAATCCCCAACTGCAGCATTGTTATCACTACAAGGATTCGTGTCATTAGTCTTGACGTCTGTATGAATGAACTTTAAGTCATTCGCAGCATCTGATGAATGCCCTAGGGCTTCCCGATTTTGAGGTGCAGGGGCGATAGCATTAAATACCAGGCCAATCGATTCACAGATATTATCTGACATCTTCAAACGTTCTTCACTAATCAACGACGCTTTTTCGTCTATCCCTCTGCTATCAATTTCAAGCTGCCTATTTGCCGCCGACTTCACACGTTTAGCAGCATAAGCTTCCATAATTTTTCCATCATTCATGTCCCTACAAATTATACTCTCTGAAAAGGGAACCTTATATTTATTAGAAGCTTGAAGGGCAAATGCTTGTTCCCGTGTCATTTCCTTGACAATGTGAGTTTCACCACCTGATGCTAGACCATTTGCAGTTTCAGTTAAAGAGCAAGAATCTTCTTCAATACACCCGGCAACTGTCTTTCCGTGAAAGGAAATATAGGTTGCAACTGCAGCATTCCTAATATCAGCTCCTCTTTCATCTACCCCTACAGAACCGTCAAAATTAGGATTGACCTGCATGGAATTACCAGAATTTTCATAAGTCGTTTGCGATATCTCATCGGTGATTGGAATATGTACAGTGTTTCCAACCATACAAGCAACAAATGGGTTTTGATCCTGGGAGGGTCGGTTAAGAATCACAGAGGGACAGCTAGATTGACTGATTCTGAGGAAAAGGCTGATTAATGTTGAAAAGAGAATTCATTTCTTTGATTTCTAACTGTATGCTTATTTTTCAAAGGCACAAAATATCTCAACAAAATATCTCAACAAAATATCTCAACAAAATATCTCAACAAAATATCTCAACAAAATATCTCAAATTTGGTGCTTTTACAGGATCGTTCTTTGCTGTACCTCCCCCAAGCTCCTGACAGAATACTTGCTCCATTCTCAACCAAGAACGTAGACAGGTGAAAGGGGACAACACGAGGCTACTTTCACTTTGTTCCTTCTATTTTCCATTCTTAACTGCTGAGATATGATTGTGACTTAGATTCATTAAAATGAAACAGACTAAGTTCGTTCTGCCAAATCATTTTAAAAAATTACGCGGGATCAGGTTTCACCCATTGAAAACTGAATCAGTACCCTCAATGGAGATTCACCTCAGCTGCTCCAGATGTTGATTTTGTCAGAAAGTTTTAGTTTTTCAACAAAGGAACTAGAAGAAATGGAAACACAAACCTCTGCAAAGTATTCAGCTTTCCTTTTTCTGATAGCACCAATGTCCGGCTGTGAGTGGTGTAGAGTTTCTTCAACATCCCCAGATATGACTTCAGCTCCTAAAGGAGGAATATTATGATGGACGATGCCACAAGTCTCCAAGGCAGCTGTACCTTCGAATGTACACACAGCGAAACAATGGGTGGATTGTAAAATATCTTCATTCTTGTCCACACAAGTATCATTAAATTTCCTACGTAAACACGATGAAGAGGAATTATTACTCAATGGTTCAGCCTTATGAGGATCACCATCACATGCCAGACCCATCTTATCATCTTCATCAATCCCAAACTCACTATCTGATTGCCTTCGAACACATTTGTCGTTTTGACTTAATTGGTTACCTTTGAAACTATTGTGTGTGCTATCGAGCCTTGGTTGATTGTCATCAAAACCAAGAAGTGACTTCTGTACAACACTAACATCATGCGCATATTGATCATCCTCAAAGCTGTCCTGCACAATAAATTGGACATCTGCTGAATTCCTACAGCTAGTAAGTGGTTCCTTGCCTATGTCATTGCCAAGATCACATTCAACTGTCACCTTGTGAAACAATGACCTCTTTATTCTCTGTCCAGCTCCGTTAATAGGCGATTCAGTATAATGACCTACAAGATCATGAAATTATGGCTCAGCAGAAAGTCATACCGCATTAAAAATCTCGCCTAAGAAAAATAAGAGGACCCATTTAAAGCCAGATGTCCTAGTTTTCAACTATCACTATACCTTGTGAAGGGAAATCATTGCTTTTGTACTTCGCATCACTTCCAACAGTGGAATCCACCTGGATTTGGTCCAAATGAGTAGCAGACTTCTTTCTCTGTTCGTGTTTCTGCATCCTTCTCTGATAGGTCTTTTTAAGTAAAGGAACAGCACTTGGAAGCAAAAGAGCCATCATAGATCTTGCTAAGTCATTCCCTGAAAAATCAATCCTATTAAATTCTGGATCTCTATTCCCGTCCATGTATGCTGCCTGTGGTTCTATCGTAAGGATTGCAGAGGTGTCAACATCTGGATGACATTCCATAATCTGATCGTTTCTTTCTGTAATTGACTGTTTCGTCTCCAGAAAATTAGGGAGGACTCCACCTTCAGTGATGAACTTTTTTGGAGCATCGGCTCCTTGCATTATCGTAGAAGCAACAACCTTACCTTTGACACTAAAGGAACGTCCTTTATCATTCACCAACGAAAAACCATCAACTTTATCTGCACATCCAAAGCTTCTATTAGAAATGAGTGAATGATCAGTTTATACAAGCAGCATGTGGAGTAACAATCGAAGAGATTATATTAACTAAGACAATGTGCTGCCAAAGAAATTACCTTGAACGTTGTCCAGTACGTTGGGGATATGCAGATCCCTCGCGTTCACATCTTTTGCTTTCGCCAACAATCCTTTCGTTTTCACGTTGGAATCTAAAAATCCACCAAGCTAAAAAACTTCTGGTTAAAATTCAAGGGTATTTTACTAGTAATAAATTCGCCATCCGACTTCAAGATGGTAAACAATGACGAATGTTCAAATTACCAGGCTACATATCTGGAAAAACTTAAATCCACGAAATCACTATAGGTCGCTGGAAAGAAAACGTTAGTGCATACCATTTCATTAGTGATGGGGGAATTCATGCCCCAGGGACTAAAATCTTCATAGTTTGGAGACCGGCTGTGCTCGCAAGAAATGGAATTATCTCTAACAAAGCAATCAGACTGACCAGATTTTGCAGATGAATTGTCGATTTGTGAAGCAGAGTTAAGCTTGCTTTCAACCAGAGTAGGGCGTCGTTCCTGCAACTCATTTTGGCTGAATCTAGAAACTCAGAACCAGTACGATATAAGGTATCAGGATCACATTTCATGATAGAAAGAGCTACATACCTTGAGTTGATAAGATCCTGGCTAATTATATCACAGCATATATCTCCGTCCCATGAAGCATCTTTTTCTAGACAGGGCATATCCACTTGTTTCGGGGGGAAAATGTCCATATCATGATTTAGGTCCTGATTCAGGAATCTGTTTGTACAGTCAACACTTCCTGCCTTCTTGTTTTCATTCTTATGCCTTTTACTTCTCTTTCCCGTTCCATGTTGCTTTCCCAAGTATACAAGTAAATCAGTGCGTTGAAATACTTTTGAGCCTGGAACGTTTTGCTCCATCGTGGAAAATCCATTGCAGTCATTGTGGGATATCAACGTTTTGCTCTGTTCTGCAACTCCGTGGACATTAGCCACAAGTTCACGTAGTAGTCTCTGAACAAATGGGTTTCTAAACCCAAAGAGCTGCAGCCATTATGTTATAAGAAAAAGGAGTTTCAAAAGGCAAACTTGATAGATTTAGTTTCTCGTTTGATGTATGATATTCTTCCACTGATTCAGCTATATCATGGTAAAAAGTCACGAAAAATGCGAAATAAAAATCATTATTAAGTCTACAATTGAGGAAGTCGAGGTAGCATGATAGGGGCAAATTTTGTAGCCAGCATTGTAAATCGGAATAACCACAGCTCACACTAAAGTTGCGAAAAACGCCTCCAAAATTATAGAATGTGCACAGAATAATGCGTCTCCGTCAAAAAGTGTTAAAGGTATAAATGACAAGAGCCCTTGTCTCTTGGAACCTTGAGGATACCTCAACAAGGTCCAGATTACTGAAGGAATTTTAAGATAAGCACATGGTGAAATTATGGAATACTGTCTTAAAATGTAATGATATTTTAGGATCAGGGTGAACAATATAAAATGAACTAGGGTGAGATTGGAGAAGAGTAAAACACTCTAAATAGAGGGTAAGTTCTTGGATATTCTGTGGCCGTATTACTACAACTGAATTAAAGAAAATGCGTGTAAAATGGAAAAAAACAACTATCATGCATACACCGAAGTGGTCGGCCACCAAAATCGATGATATTGACAAGAAGCTTACAGTTGAAAGAAAGATAGGGTGGATGTGCGAGAAACATTAGAAATCATACATGATCTGATTCTACTCGAGGAAAATAAGTAATAACGATGATATTCAGAAGAAATACAGCCCATGAATATTCATTTAACAAATAAAACGATCATTTTGTGAGTAGCTAAAAAAAGAAAATTTTCGACGAAAGGGATATAAATTTGCATGTATGTCATGAATAAAAAGACTTTCACTGATTTGAAATTCTAGTACTACAATATTTGTGGGATTCAGACAACCAGATGACAGCTGATTCATCCAAATAAGACGCAATTTTCTGAGATAGAAGTCAGAGATCAGCGTATGAGTCACTTGAATGATACTTAAAACCTAACGAACATTTACCATTAGCGTTTTGCAAACATCATACTGTTGTTTTAGTGCAATACTGTCTAGTGCGGCCTTACATGATGTATTAAGTGGAATGACACCACATGGAAAACAGTGGAGAAGATCGGAGAAATAATCAACGTAATAAGGTTCCAGCATTGAGACCTATGCATGACAGGAGAACAGTCACTATTTTGAGTATACTAATTTGTGATGTACTTGTGTAAGGACTGAAGTGGATATAAAGCATTATCCACATCTTACGTTTACTTCTTAATGAATTTTTAATCATGGTAAACTGTGGTTCAAGATGCCTCGGAGAAATATATAAACTTGCCTCAATACCATCTATTCTGCCAGAAAATCTTTTCCCGCTCCAATTCTTGACCCTAGGCCCACTCTTTTTCCAGAAATATTCCCAAGATATATCAGGCGTCTGCCCGGAACACGTATCTCCACTTGGAGACGTGACCTGCGTGCGAAAGCATAATTTGTAAAACACTGTAAAACGTTGAACAAGCATCGTGATCATCCACCAAAACATGTTCACAACCATAGCAAAAATTCAGTAAAAGAGGAACCATAGAAATGAAGGGAATACAAATTCATTAAATGAAGTCACATAAGAGTACAAACCACGAATAGAGGCCCTTTGACGCCTTCCTGTATTTCCATCCTATATGTAATCCCAGCATAGGTCCGAAGAGCCTGATAACCGACTGGGTAAGGGTACCGACCTTTCCCCTACACAATGAAGAGATGGCGATAAAATCAAAACGTAAATCGCGACGACATACTCGCAATTACCTCTCTTCACATTAGAAAATGGCTAAAAGCTCCTGCTAAGTAAGACGGCTACACATAGATCTCAGACTAAGAGGTAACATTGGACATTTTTCACCTCAAACGTAACAAAAAATCAACAGCGGTGGAGAAGAGAAGGAAGAAGCAATCAGCCGGAGTTATCAGAAAGTGAGAAAAATAGAAAGCCCCGTTTAATCGACGAGAACACCCAGGCATTCCGAAACAACCACAAGAAGCAGCCCTAACTGTGGCGTTGCGGGAGGTAGTGAGAGAGAAATGCGAACCCTGGAGCAGCTCCAGTACTTCTTGTCCCAGGGGCCAGCGTGCAGAGCTCCGATGGAGACGATCTCCAGGCCGTCAGCCTTCTCCTCGCTGTGGCATTCCATGGATGAGGAACCACGCAGATCCTCGGCCGTTCTTCTCCGCGATCGAAGATGGGGGCCACAGAGATCAGGGAGATGGAAGGGGGTGGCGGGAGGCGTTGGACGTGGAAATTCTGGTGTTCCTCCCGCCAAAATATTGAGCATGAGATGACGTCTCCTCGCTTAACCCGCCCGTATTATATAAACAGCGAAAAGTTTAAAAATAACGCCGTTGCCGGGGATCGAACCCGGGTCACCCGCGTGACAGGCGGGAATACTTACCACTATACTACAACGACTTGAATGTAATAAATGAAAAGTTTCTTTTTGTTAATGTCTTCTTCACTGGAGCTGGGAATGAATGGGAAGTAGTATCTCTTCATTAGCCGGAACGACTCCACTAGCATAATTCGAAGAACGAACAAGAAAAGGGTGACTGTTTAGGTAGGATGGATGCCAACTTAATATTTTTCAAGTTTTTTAAACTATTCTTCTCCAGGTGGAAATAATCCAGGCATATTATTCTCTGATGAAAAAAATCCACCGCGTAATCCACCAAGAACACAACATAAACACCAATGGGCAGATTCCCCAGGAGGCCAAGACCCCTTTCTGCTACTTGGAAAATCAGTGGGATGCGGACCTTACAGTGGAACATGTAAAAGTCAACCATGAAGAATGAGACTGGACGAGGAAAGTCAACCAACCCCCACCCCCAGACTCCATGATCATCATGGAGCCACAGCAAACTCATCGCCGATCTTCTGCCGCTTGTGCTCTGGCTCCTCTTCTTCTTCATCGGTGATGGGCGGCGCCTCCAGTCCGCCGCCTTGTGGCCCGAGAGCCATGTTGGTCTTGTCTGTGCCCAGGAGGGAGGAGTGCTTGGCGGTGATCTGGCGGCCGGCTCGGACCTTCGGGCCCCAGTGACGCTCTGGGTTTGGGAGGAACCGAGCCACCTTCTTAGCCTGGGCCTTGCTGAGTGATGCCACTGCCCGGGCGAAGTTAACCTGCCCATAACAGAAATGGTGAAGATACTGGCGGCGCCGCCGAGAGGACTATGATATGTATGTGTCTGTGTGTCTGTGTGTCTGTGTCTGTGTGTCTGTGTGTCTGTGTGTCTGTGTGTCTGTGTGTCTGTGTGTCTGTGTCTGTGTCTATGTGTGGGAGGGGAGGGGGAGAAACCCCCCACCAGTTTTGAAGATATCACGCAAAAAAGTGATGTTCTTGCTCAGTCCCGGCAGATTTCTGGTATGGGCTCTTCATTAAAATCTAAGGCTGGAAGAGCACGAGACAGGATGAGCACAAGGGGCGGTGAATGCAAACCTGCAATTTCGGTTCTTTGGAGAGGATCACAGTTCCAGACTGATCAGCCGGCTGCGCTTTGACTGGGTGGGTCTTCACCTGTTTAAACAGAATGATTAGGCAAGAATAGGTGAAATAAAATATGATGCAATGAAAGCAAATTAAGATAAGTGGCATATTATAATAAAAATGTCTAGATTATTTTCCCCATCTTTCTAATCATGAGACAATAATTGATTATGGTTTCTAATCGGAAAGCATACTCAATCATAAAGAAGGCGAAATTAAATTTCCTGGGGAGCAAACAGTATATATATCATAAAGATATAATAAAAATTGATCAAAATAAGCAGCATAAGTGAACGAACATATTTCAGTCAAAAATGATTTCTTCTTCGCCATTTATTTATGACAAAAAATAAATAAATGCGGATTCTAATAATTCTAGAATTTTCATGAACCTCAGCACTGACTGATGATAATATATCATAAAGATACAATAAAAATTGATCAAGATAAGCGGCACAAAATGATTTCATCTTCGCCAATTATGACAAATAAATAAATAAATACGGATTCTAATCATTCTAGTCTTTTTCCGCAATCCTCAGCAATGAGTGATGATGATAGAGGGGGAGGGAGGGAGGAGAGGAGGGATCACCCAGGTGCGCATGATGTCCCAAATCACGTCCATTGGAGCATCCGATTTGAGCCCCAGAGGGTTCACATGGCTGCCCGAAATCCGGTAACCAGCGTTGATCACTGCAGAGCGGAAAATAACTGCAGATGGGGATGTGCACTTGAGCGTCGCACACAAGTTGTGGAGGCTCACAAAGAGAGGAACATCAGGCAGCTCCTGCATCCAGAGTGATAAATATTTTCTTAACGAGAATATTTAATAAAACATAAATGCACTCTCTGACAAGCTCTTTGCCCAAAAGGGGAACTCTTCATGCGTTGAAAAGCAGACTTTTTTCTTTAATTTAATATTATAATGACACAAAACTAAACATTATATATAAGAGAGTAAGATGAAACTGATACTACCTCCGAGATTGTCGTCAAGACAGCAGAGATCTTCTCATATGCAGGGTACCGCTCCTTCATTGTTCTAACACTGGTTAAGATGGAGGAGACCCACTCGAGGTCGTGAATGGGGGCAGACCAGATCGGTCCGCCCATGTTGAATTTCTTCCCACAATCTGTGCACTCTTGGGGAACTGAGGGACCGAAGCCAGGGGCATATCTCACACTGTTGTTCTTGAGAAAATATGAAATACTGTTTCAGAACTATGCGGGAAAATCTAACACCCAAAGCAGGGGTTCATAGAATTACTAGAAACTTACCTTGGTGGCGATCCTCCCAAGAGGTTGCAGATGGAATGAGTCACATCCGATGCACTGGTAGATATATGAGAGCTTTAGAGGGGTGTTCTTTATAGCGCTTGCGGAGCTGCAAATAGATCCACCAATCGTTCCCAGTTAATGGGAGAAAAATCGCAAGGTCTTGTTAGCGAATTAGTCATGTCTTGATTGTTATAGAAATAAATCTGAGATTATAGAAAGATGGCTCAATAGCTCCTAACACTCACAAATGTACCAATCAGTGCAATATTCACTATCAGGTATTGGGGGGAACAATATTACATGGCATAATTATCAGGTATTTGATGCATCAGTCAAGATTTTTCTTAATATGGCACTTTCCAACTTCTGGCATATGAACAAGTGCCATGATCTTGACGATCCAACAATGAGAGTGTTGCATATCAATGGTGTTCAAGGAGGTCAAAGATATAGATAGCACCACAACAAGTAAGAGATCCCATGGAATAAAGAGAGAAAGAAAGAAAGGAATAAAGACACTTACGTGTATATGCGGACGAAAACACGTATGTAGAAATCCATTTGCACAGAAACGATCGGGACGATGTACCGTTTGTAGCGATTAGCATGGCTCTGCCGAGACAACCATTGTAAGATGGAAGTTTAGAGAAAGGGTATGAGACATTAGTGATGAAATCTCTAGTGGGCACACCTCAATGCAGGCGAGGAGGATTCTTAGAGCCATTTCATGGCAGTACTTTCCCTTCAATGGGTAAGAACCATACCTGGTACAGGATTGAGATATGAGTTAGTGAAATAAAATGATGGCAAGAAGAAGTCATGAAATGAAATGGTTTGCCCTTAAAAGGATGTCTCTATTTCTCACTTGGCATAGCACACCTCCCCATTTCCACCACAAAGAACAGCCAGATCAGTAGCAGTGCACATCAGTAGGCCGCCATCTGCAACACACTGAACCGCCGAGTCCAAGAATACAGATGGCGATCCATAAGGATCGAGATCAACCTGATAAAATGCCAAACGGAGATCAGATGACATAAATTTTAAGCGTTTAGCACATACCAGAATAAGCTGATGAAACCAAAAAACAGATTCGTGGCTGGGTTAAACAGAAATTAATTAAACCAGAGATGATTAGAGCAATCATTTAACAACGCATGTTGTTAAGAGATTTAAACGAGCATTACAAGTATCCAGCTTAGGAACGGACGGTTGAAATAAAATCATACACAGAATTAGGAGCTTACTCTGAGTTCACAAAATTACAATATTTGCAAAACTTAACAATTTCTTTTTGAATAAAGAGTGGCCTAAATCCCTCAACATCATGCAAACAATAAAAAGCAGAAGTAAATGTAGCAACACAATTGTCATAGTCTTCCGGGTCAGCATCTTTAGCCTCCAATCCTCACTTTGCATTCCAAATGAACAGTCAACCTCGGTGTTTTGATGGTATTTCTCAATGTCAGACTGCAGGGTGGATCACTTATAATATCTTAGCAAATGAATAAAATCATGCAGTAGAGGATAGTTACCACATCATATTCCTTTGGCTGTGTGAGCATATAAACACGAGCATCGGCCTGATGGGCTTCAACTTTTGAAGTCGCCAAGGATCCGTTAAACTGTATATTCTTCCTGCATGCTTCAATAGAAGCTGTTTAAACAAAACAAAAAGATCATCAACAGCCTTCATCATAAAATAAAATAAAAAAAGAAATATATAAAGCATACTTTCACAGGGTTTAATAGAAAGAGTACCTTTATCAATATCGAGGGCCACTATCTTACCAATCCCTTCAACTTCACGGGCATACCTCAGAGATCTTAAACCAGAAGCAGCCAATGCCTGTGAATCCAGGATAAGAAGCCCCCCCATTAGTCTTCAGATGCTTCAACGCAAAATACTGTGAATACAATTAATCTATAAGGTAAAAGTCAACTGGGGCAGCACCTCCAGAACTGCCGGCTGTTTCAGCTCCCCTGAATGACTCCCACCATTCTCATTAGATGGTTCCTCTGACGTACCTAGTTCATCTTGCTCACGCACTCCACTGGGTTCTTCCTCAGTAGTAACTGCTTCTTTTACTGCGGTGGAAGACTTCTCTCCGTGAACCTTTGACTTTGTCCTCCGTTTCTTGGTTAAATATGCATCATGCTCTTCTTTGCGTCGAGAAATAAATGTTCTCAGAACAGCAATGGACATATCTCTGTTGTTGACCTGAGTTCCAATCAGCAGTGGTCGTAAAAATACTGTCTTCGTGAGATTTAACACGGCTAAAAGCCCATCATACGAGCTAACTAGAGAAATATGATCACGGAGATGTCACACATAAAATCAGAAAACGATGCTGATATACCTTATCGATGATAATCTATACACAGTTCAAACAAATTGCACGGGAAAAAAAAAAGAAAAGTGAAAGAAACGAAGGCACGAAAGGGCTCCCTGATGCATCGATCCTTGCATAAATGGGTCCAAAGATGATCCATGCCGACTGTAATTCGGACGTATACATCTGGCGATTAGGGACTAAATTCGGGAAACCAGGGATCAACTGGACGCAATTAAACGGTGAGGGGTGGGAAAATGTCCAAAGTTCAAAATCAAAGCCCCAAACCACCGAGCAACGAAAAAAGGGTCTTCAACTGGATCCGACTTTTACACAATTCATCAGCAGGAAGACCTGAAAGAATGAACTTTCCCAACAGCGGAAGAAGAAAGGACTATGGATCGAAAAAACGCGAAACCTGAGTTTTGTTGTAGAAGACGCTGTTGCTGCGGTGCATGAGGATCTCCGCCTCCCCTTCCCTAATAACAGCGTACTCATCGAGCTTGCCTCTCTCGTCCCCCATGTCTGACGGCGGCGTAGCGGCTGCGCTCTGGATATCCCCAGGCTCCCGCACGGCGGCGAGGCAACTACGGGGGGAGCAGGAAAGGCGAGCAAAGCCGACGTTCGCTGGCGTCCTCGGCCGTCTCAGAAATACTACCAAAACAGGGTGCATGCCATGGCAATCCGACCCACAAGTTCCCGCCTCCCCCTCTCCCTCGCCCGGCTCTGAGGCTTAAACCCTAGCTAGGAGCGCAGCCAAAGCTCCGATCTTTTGCAGTCCATGGCCCAGATCAGCCTGGAGGTCGACCCGGCCCGGTCTTCCAAATCAGGCTGATCGGCCCAGCCCGGTCTCTTACAAATCATCGCTGGGTCAAGGCTCAGTTTGTTCCGCATCAAATGTGTAGCCAGGTCCCATCTCTCCTCCCTCCATTACACCAGCACATCAGGGATCTCATTGGGTCCCTAGCCCCTCCCACTAGATAATCTACCACATCATTTTCACTCATTCATTAGATTTCTAGGTCTGACCCATTTGACAATCTATTGTGTTCATGACTTTGAAGCTTTAGTTCATGACACTACTACTTTGGGTAATGCTAAGATGAAAAGATATATAATTCAAAGTATACAAAGTTTTGTGGGATTCAAGCTAGAGTCTTCATTCTTCAGTAGCTTGGAAGCCTTCCTCTGTTGCCTGCTCACTCAAATAAAAAAGAGCTCTCTCTGAGCACCTTGAATTTATTAACTCTAAATATCAACTTATTAGGAAAGAAAACTCTATTGATATAGAACATCATATTAGCATGGTATGATAAATTCAGCACATTTTGACACAAAATAGATATATTTGAGGAAATGATGAGAAAAGTGTTGATGAAGAAAATGAATGGTGATGTTGTCATAGATCAAATTTATGTTGATGAAAAGTATTTTTGGATCCCAATATACACTAATGTGTGTGGAGTTCCCAACATCAAGGAAAATAGTTTCCAAATGACTATGATGGGTGACCTCACCATTTTTCAAGATTATAATGAAAAAGTAAAAATAAAATATTTATCTCTTAAGAAAATATGTAACAAAATTCTTTCATAAATTCAAAGTTGAATCATTAAGATCAAAAAGCACTCCTATGAAATTATATTTAGATGAAAAAAGATAATAATTTGGTCAAAAAGGTTCTAAAAGTATAATAGGTTCACTATTATATCTATTGACACGAGAATGGAAAACACTGTAGTATTCATGAAAGATAGAATATATTGGTCTTATATAAGAGAGAGGAGAGATGAGAAGAGAGAGATAGATAATAAGCCTTAGTAGGTTGAGAGTTTGATACCACTATTAAATATTCTTCCTCAAGTTAGAGCATATAAGTTAAACATATCTAACTTAGTGCACGTGATATCGTAAGAGGTATCAACCAGACTCTTCATAAAGATATCTGCAAGTTAATGAAATCATGTCACATGAGAAGTAGAAATTAATTTAGACATAACCTTATCTCGAATATAATGAGAGTTGATTTCAATATACTTCGTATGCTCATGAAAGGTGAGATTGTCAACAATGAAGATGACGGTCTCATTAAAAAAATATAATATATGAACATTAGAGAGAGGGAAATAATGTCAAGATCATTGAGAAGTAATTGAAGTCATACCATTTTTCACATTCTCTCATCCATGACTCAACACTTGGATTTTGTATTAGAGTAAGACACCACCTTCTATTTTCAGGGCTACCAGGTGACTAAGTTACTATTGACATATGTGCAATAACTTGTAGTATACTTTTGGTCACCCTTGTCACCTATATACTCGATGTCAAAGTAGGCTACAATGTGGAGATGATTGTGTCATCAATAGATGTCTTTTTCTTAAGATTTGCTTGATGTAAGTGAGGACTCATAGAGTTCCTTCTCAATGAATTCATCAAGGCTCCTACATTAATTGCCTCAAGACATTGTGTATACGATATTAAGATGAGTAATAGTGAGATATATCAACTTATCCAACAATTATTGATACTAGTTAACATCTTCAAGTAGGCTCAAATATTGAAGAAAACCTTCTGTTTTCAATGTGTCAAGTAGCAGCTAATGTTCTCAATCACAAGTCAAGGACAAACTAATACTATTACAAATTTCAATGTGTTAAGTAACAATTTTTGTGGAAGAATGCTTTGATTGTTTTGAGGTAGACTCGTCCATTATGTAGATTGAATGAATTTTCTTCAACTGGAGATTTGGGGACAATGTTTCTTACTAATTATGGAGATTTTTTTTTTGATATTTCAATGGTTATAAAATGGTTGAAAAACAATCTCTCGACTAATAAAGGTACTATAACCTTTTCTTGTTTTCCCCACTTTCTCTCTCTTATAGATTTACTCATGCTCTTTCTTATTAGAGAAAAGTCAAAAACATCTTACAAAGAAGAATTGCTAAAAATTATAGAGCTAATTTATAAAATGTCTTAGATCATTTCAAACATCTACATGCTCTTAAAGGTCACTAAGAAGTTTAAATATTTTGAGATGTAAAATAATTATTTTACATTTTAAAAAAATCCTCAATCAAAGTGATGTTTTCATCTATTATGATTTATGGCTAATGGGTAAAGACATTAAAACATTGTGATTTCCATATTACCTTTCAACTCATTTTTTTATCATCAAAATCTTTAAGCTTCTAAAAACTAACATTGTCCCTTTTTTCATGGTGACAAAAGTTAGACTAATGTAATGAATAATTAGTGTAGAACAATCACTGATTAATATGATCGTTTTCAATTAATAAGTCATGCTACACTTCAAAATTGAATTTTTTTGAAGATATTTGAAAAACATAAGGAATTATGTTTTCACAATATTTTGAATTAAAAAAAGATAAAAATAGTTTCAAGGTTATTTGATCTTTCTTTTTTTTTAGAATTGAAATTCTATGTTAGATAAGTCAAAAATAGTTCCTAAATTTCAAAAAAATGTGAATATTTTACAAATATGGATGAGTTTTATTGAGGTTTAGACCTTTTTTTCAAAGAGATGCTATTCCATTTTTGGAATGTTTCAAAGAGTGATTCCAAAGGAGCTTGACGGATTCTAAAACACTGAATTTTTATCAAGTTGAAAGAAATCTGGATATCTCAATTTTTTCTATAATTTGTATTGAGTTAATAGGACTTAAATCACATTCTAGTATGTTGTGATAACTTAAGGTATATAAGAATTTGATTTCATGATAAATTAATGGTGAAAACTATTCTGATATCTAAACGCCATTACAAGTAGAGATTCATATCAAGATGCTTCCTCTTGATATCTTATTATATTAATTGCATGTACTTTCCTGAAATTAGATTAAATTAATCTTACTTTTCTGTTTCCCTAGATAATAGTTTTGCATAAAAAATTGAAGTGGTGGTTTAACTATAAATATTCCCATGATCAAATACAATAATTTATAGCAAAAAAATATTTACATGAATATTGAGTAGTCTATTTATTACTATTTTTTTCATTAAATCCTCCATTATACTTCCAAGCTAATGTTGTGTGTTATTTACCCAATATGGACTTTTTTTACTTACATTTTCTCATGGACAAATAGTATTCAATTCGATTAAATTCCCCCTTTCATATCGTGGATTGATTATTACTATTTTATATAGTTCATGTTAATAACAAGCATTTTTTAGTACGTCAAAATTAAATCTAGAAATAAAATGGGTTCATGCTTCAGCAAAATTATGTTGGCTCAAAAATCTGGCCTGAGCAAGTATTTATTTATCCATATTTTTTTGTACGATGGATTAAGATAATTTATATCTGAATAAATCACTTATAATTAATAATATATATCACTCATTAACAATAGTAACTAAATAAGTAGATGGCAAGCGGATAATAATAGTTAATAAAGCAGAATTATGGGAGTCAACGGGCTAACTGATGACCAACCGACCGTGGCCCTGCCAACACGGCGGACGCCAATAATGGCCAGAGGGAAAGGCGGCCCACCCCCGTTGACTTTTGCCTTATTTACTCTCTTTGTCAAGCGGGTGGCCCGTAATTCCCTGATGCGCGTATGACGCAAGCAGGAGAACGTCATCTCATCGATGGGACCCCCTATAGTGACCTAAATGACCAAATTATCCTCAAATCTGATACAGGCGACCCATTAAACCCTTCCCACAATTGTATAACATTTGTTTTTTAAAATCATAATTACTTAATTTAAATTACTAAAGATTAGAGAGAGATAGATAGAGAGAGAGAGAGACATAGAGGCTTTGCTTCATTATAGGTAAGTTGAGTTATTATTTTTTAATTAAGTAATAGGGTGGCCAGTTTTTGAATATTTTCCAATGGAGACCAAGTAAATCCGTAATATCTGGGAAAAGAAGGGCCATCTCAGAGACGGGTTCACTACGTGCACCGAGGATAAAAGGCGTACCAGCGGAGGGAGGGTGTTCGTTTGTACGATGTACACGTGTCTATTTCTGATTGCCCGAGAGCGTATTGAGCGTGTGGTATTTGGCCAATAGAACCACGACAACGCATAAAGTAAAACCACCTTCTTCTACTGACAAAACCGCCCCCCATTTCGTCGGAAGTGGGTCTCCCCCGCCCGCCTTTCTCCCATTAGATAACCCCCTCCATCGTGGACCTCCATCGCCTCCCATGGCGTCGTTGGCCGTCGACGACGGAGGAGCAGATCTGCTACCGGCGGAGCTCCGGCGATCTCCTTAGACGACGACGTAGTCACCTCCACCCCCGCTAGTCTTTTCAGATCGACCTCGGTCCTCCTCCTGTTCCACAGTTGGCGACGGGGAGAGAATGGGGAGGGGGAAGGTGCAGCTCAAGAGGATCGAGAACAACATCAATCGGCAGGTGACCTTCTCGAAGCGCAGGTCGGGGCTACTGAAGAAGGCGCACGAGATCTCGGTCCTGTGCGAGGCTGAGGTTGCTCTCATCGTCTTCTCCTCCAAGGGGAAGTTGTACGAGTTTTCGGCGAATTCCAGGTCCCGCGCCTATATTAATCCATTCCCTTACTCGTTCTTTTTCGAATGATTTGTTTCCTTCTTCAGAGAGTTTCCTCCTCCTTTTCACTTGTTTGCTTGATGCCTTCTTGACTAATTCTCCGTCGTGCTCGGCAGTCTTTTTCTCACTGTCGTGGGATCCTTGATATCGGCGTTCGCTCAGTACTTATTGCCTCAGTTACTGATCCTCATCTGTGTCTGCCGTTGCGCTCTCCGTCATCGTCGTCGTCCTTTCATTGTTCTCGAGTCCTCAGAGTTGGAGACGTGATTTCTTGTGCCTCCATGCTTCACTGCTTTTTCGACAGGAAGCAGCAGGTGTTCCCTGGATCATGCATCGTGATTTTCTATTACACATGAGTTCGACTGTATATTATCCTCTTTTTTTTTTCTGACGAAACTTTCGACGTAAGAAACGTTGCTTTGACTGTTTTAGTTCTCGTGGGAGCGTTTCCCTGAGAACGTGGTTTGCTGAGAGAGAAAGAGAGAGAGAGAGAGGAGCTGCATGGAATATAAAAGGATTCCAGGTTGTGTAACGGAGATCAATGCCTCTACTTTTCGAGATTTATCGGTATTTCCCCCTCCTCACCTGAGATGCGTGGATAGAACCACATCAGGGAGTGTAAACAAGAGATCTAACCGTTGGTACTGGCTTCGGTAATCCTCTCGGTCGTGGGAAAGAGCATCCCGTTCTGTAGATGTTGAGGCTACCGCTTCTCATTAGTGGGCTTCTCCGGAATCGGGCAAGACCACAAAATAATGAGAATCAGTAAATACTAAGAACGTGGCCAACACGAAGATGACCATCATTGCAAGTTTGTTTGAGGGCAGGTTACTGAGAACTGCTTGATCTTTGTTTGTCCAAGAAGGGAGTTATTTCTGTTCGTATTGAGGATCATGCATCGTATTATGGTCTGCACGTTTTTAACCATTCGGTTCCTCTTTGATCCCCAGTCTTCAATCCTCGTCTTTTTTTTTCTTTTTTTTTTCTTGATCCGAGGTCTCTTGTATTCTTTATTTCGACTTCGCCTCGGAAGTAGTTTTTCTCTGCACCTGAAGGTTTTTTTGGGATGCACATCCAAAGGTTTTTATTCGTCGTCGACAAGAAAATATTCTTTTGGAGATATAATCATATCATTATTTTTGGCTAAGTAATCTTTTTTTTTAAAATCGGGCAAACTTGCCTCTCCTTTTCGCCGACCCAAAATCGAGCAGAGAAAAACGCGTAAAGGTTTCCTTCAAATAAAGGCGTAAGAACAGTTTTGTTGTTCCAATTAATGGCGACAGATTTGACTATTTTTTTATTGAGTTATATACTATTTTTTTTAGTAAGATATGAAGTTCATTAAAAAAATTCAAAGTTACACAAATGAGACAGTTTCATTTCGACGGGTCAACTTTTATCGTAATAGTTTTTTAAATTCACGTCCTAGAAGATGGTTTCTGTGAGAATCGAGTTCTGATAAACACCAAAATGTGCTTGCATGAAGGTAAAATACTGGGGGAAAAAAATGCACTTGATCTTTATCCTCATCCGGTTTTAGTTGCAAAAAACATTCCAATAATTACTTCTTTCTTGGGCAGTATGGAAAGAATTCTGCAGCGCTATGAGCTATATAGTGGCCCAGAAAGAGAGCTCGTGGTACCAGATCCAGAGTTACAGGTAAGATTTCCATGCCGTATCCATCAATAGTTGAAGAGGTCAAACATTAAATCCACCATTCAGCTCAGACGGCGCTCTTCTAGAAGGCTCTCAAAAACATTGTCCCAAAGATTGCTGAATTTCTTATGGTTCTTTGATTGCTGTGTAGGGAAGTTGGTGCTTTGAATCTAACCAGTTAAAGGCCAAGGTAGAAGCTTTACAGAAAGCCCAGAGGTATTCAGATCAAAAGCATAAGATAGCTACTTAATGATCATGCTAATACTTGGCGTATGATGCTCATAAAGACGGGTGTTTGACAGGCACTTTATGGGAGAAGATCTTGAGAGCTTGAACATCAAAGAGCTCCAACATCTGGAGCAGCTGGTGGAAGTTGGATTGAACCAGGTGATAACAAGGAAGGTATGCTCCTTCGCTCATCCTCTACAGTTAAACAAATGCTTCTGTCGATTTCGAGCAGATTAGTTGAGACCTCAAAGGGATCTGTGCTTTGCGCCGTGCTTGCTTATCCATATGAGAGATAGATAGAGAGAGAGAGATGGAAGAGGGGGAGAGAGAGAGAGAGAGAGAGAGAGAGAGAGAGGGGGGGGGGGGGGGCAGTAGCATCTTTCAAAAGTGTAAGTGCACCAGACTTTCTTCATAACTTTGGGCCTTCACATGACCCTTTCATGTTGTCTTTTCCTACAGAGCCATCTGCAATTCGATTCCATCTCCGACATTCAAAGAAAGGTGCGCCCAGATCTTACTCACATTAGAGGAAAGCTATCTCTGCGCCATGAAGTGATCCAGCGTCATCACATTTTTAATTTGGTTCAATCTAATTAGCATACTTCTTGAGTGAACAATGCGACGAACCCAATTAATCCTCCCCCCTCTAAACTCTCTCCGAAACAGGTGGTGGCACTCCAAGAGGAGAACAACATGATGTGGGTCACGGTAAGTCGCTCCCCCCAGCTCCCCCCTCAAACAAAAAATAGAGAAAGAGAAAAGAAAAAGACACGGTGATTTCTTACCCAGATGCTCATTCTATTCTCCAACCGTGCGCAGCTCAAAGAGAAAGAGCAGGCGGCCCTCTCTCTCTCTCACCACCACTCGCTCTGGGATCATCCGCAGCACCAGCCGCTCTACCAGAGCGCCACCAGCACCTCCTCCTCCCCGCCGTCGTTTACCGTCACCGACTCTCCCCCCACCGCGCTCAACATCGGGTACACCCCCACCAACTACCTTCATATTATCAAAACCCTCCCAACTTATACTAGTTAGAACATTTATAATACATGACTTCATTTCTGTTTATATCCTTTATCACATCTCTCTCTCTCTCTCTCTCTCTAGTGAGAGATTTAACCGTCTGCTGTGACGCAGGTTCTTGCAGCCGACCGTCGAGGAGCCGGCGCTGCCGCCGGCGACAAAGCTGCCGGCGTGGATGCTCAGCCACAAGAACGGGTAGTAGAAGTGTCTTTTCCTTTCCTCTCCTTCCATCAAGGCCTAGTATAATATCTCGCAGTACTAGTTGTGTCTTCCGGAGAACGGCGCGCTTTCTGGGAAGCCGGCCACTCAGCCGGCGCTCGAACGGCGGCAAGGGCCCACTCGCTGGTAGTAGCGCCGCAAACACGTGGGAAATCGTCCCACATGGTTTGTCTGTGGTTCCCTCACCGCTCCAATAAGACGGCTGCCTTCCAATTTCTACTCCCCTAAGAACAACCCATTTATAGACAGAGAGAGAGAGAGAGAGATATGCAATCTAGACGCGTGCCAACAGCCTTTCATAAGCAAGTAGACAATAATTACACAACTATCTTTATGTACAAGACGACGACTGACGAAAAATCAAGGACAGGGAATGAGGAGAGAGAGAGAGAGCGGGGCCCGCTCTCATGTTCTCTCACTGAACACCATCACCTGCCACGGAGAGCCAAGTGCCAAAATTATGAAAGAACCACGTAGAAGGAAAGCATACAGACATCCCTTAAATCCGTTAGAACCCCTGCCAACAATTTTCTTTTTTCTAGGGGAAAACCTCGAGAATTATGAATGCCACCCATGTGTTGTAATCCTTGACAAAGAGAAAAAACCCACAGCAATAAAAATAAATTATAAGAAAAAAAAGGCAATAGGGGCGGCGCTACCTTTCCGCAGACCGGACAGGCCTCACTCCTCTCCATCCACTCATATATACAGCCAAGGTGGAAATGGTGAGAGCACTGCATGATGATCCTGGGGTCCTCTGGAGTATACTCTGCATCCAACACGAACATCGAGGTAAACAACCGCAACCCCCCTACCCAAAAAAAAAGGAAAAAAAAAAGAAAAAGAAAAAAAAGGACAACCCCTTAAGATCAGCCTCCCCAATCATCAAGCAACTTTCACCATTTTTAGTAAAAATTTACAGAGGAACCCCCTCTCACACAGACCAATATTAATTAAGTACAAGAAATTACTAACTAAATTTTTTGAAGAGATTAGGAGGTTTTTAAGAGCACCTTCGAGGCAAGTGGGGCAGACATCTTCATCCTCAAAAGAGGGAAAAACATATGCCACTTCACTCGGCCACTGCTTCAGCAGCAGCTCGGAAGGGCACGGCTTGGACTGGCCCCCGCCGCCATCGGGCCCGTCCAGCTTATCGGCCGCCCAAGCGGGCTCTGCATCAGGCCCACTCAGGGTCCTTCTGAGGGGCTCTGATTCCTCGTGGCAATGGCTCGAGGCCTTGCTGAACCCGGCAATCGGCCTCTCCCCCCTGTACAGTGGGGAGCATCGGGGGTCGTCATAAGGAAGAGGCCTCGGTGGGGCCCGGAAGGTGTCGGCCATTGAATTATCCCCAGTTCCTCCCGGTGGGTCAGAAGAGACCGGCCTGGCCGGAGTGATAGTCGGATGTTCTTGTTGGAAGAGAGAGGTGTACTGCAAGTAGCAATAGGATAGGGAAGGGTCAGTCAGCCACAGATTCATTGATTCATCATGGGAAAAGAAGCATATATATACATGTACGAAATGGGGAATTTTTCCTGAAGATTTGAGTGTATGTATATATGTTTTCTTTCCAAAATGGGGAAAATTTTCTGAAGATTTGAGTATACACATACATGTATTTTTTTCCAAAATGGGTAATTTTTTCTGAAGATTTGAGTGCATATATACATGTATTTTTTCCAAAATGGGAAATTTTTCCGAAGATTTGAGCTATCGAAGACGAACAATTGTCCTGAAGAACAGATAAGATTTGGAAAAAAAAAGGAAAATCTTCCAACATAATAATACATCAGAGGTGATGGGTTCTAGTGAAATCTTCTTGGAATTAGTAAACACAAGGGGGTGGAGAAGATGAGAAAGTTGTTCTAAAAAGACTGAAATCTAAGAGTAGGTTATTCAAGCTTGATGCGCAGATTTATTGGGAAATAAATAATTTCAATATCAAATACTGAGATCTCAGCATCATCAATAGAACCAAAAAAACGCAGTAGAAAGAGCTCAGAAGAGCATAAACTGCAAAGGACATACCGCGTGGAGCAGCTGCCCAATCAAGAACCTGAGGCACACACAGTTTCCATATATGGAAGAGTTTGCAAGAGAAAAGTCCTCCGAATGGTCCGCCTGCAGGCAGCAGCACAGAGAGCCCATGACACCGAGACTCAATCTCTTTGACTTTGATGAAGAACCACTTGGCGAGAATCCCCGGATCCTGTGGCAAATGTGATTCTACTGCGCCTTCTCATGAGCAGAAGTCTTCATTCTTCAGGAGAGAGAGAGAGAGAGAGAGAGAGAGAGAGAGAGAGAGAGAGAGAGAGAGAGAGATGAACAAGGCCGGTTGGGTGAATCGATATTTATCTGAGAGTATGATGGAAAAGCAATCACCACCGCGTCTTGCCCTCTTTGATCCTGGGAAAAAGAAGAAGGCGGAGTACACGAAAATGTAAAGTCTGTTGAGAAATCCCGAAATATACGGTAACAAACCAATTGGGGAGGAATTTCCGGCAGTGCAACCTCTTCACAGGCCAATAAAACAGGGGAAGGAGGGATAATATATATAGATATATAGATATATATATCTATATATATCTATATATATCTATATATATATATATAAAGGGTTCCTTGGAGCAAATTACGCGTCATGAACCTAAGAGAGCTAATCGGAAATCTAGAACGGCAGATACAACGTTGATTAAGCAGGGTAAGTCAACAGGAAAGCTGGGATTTTCTAAAGAAAGGGAAGAACTGATCCGAAGGCAACAATATGATCGCCTTCTGGCAAACATCGAGCCCAGGTTGATCAACCAGACAGAAAGGACGAACCAAACTTCATCATCGGAGAAGACCAGGACCCCAAAAACTGGACGAAATCATGGCCGGAAGGAGGAAACCCCGCCCAACGACTCACCGTAAGCCCCAAAGCACGTCCCGCCTTCCAGAGCGTTTAGCTCATCGCCGGAGACGAACCAGGAAAGTCCAAATTACCCGAAGCCCTGCAGCCTAGGGGGGAGAGAGAGAGAGAGAGAGAAAGAGAGAGAAACGCAAAAAAAGCTTGGGTACCTTGATGCAGATGGGCGAGTGTGCCCAGAAGCGGACAGAAAACGGTGGGGCGTAGAGAGAGAGCGAGAGAGAGAGAGAGAGAGAGAGAGAGAGAATTGTCCTCGATGACGCCTGAGATTCTCCCTGCGACAGCCGATGGAGGAGAATCGAACGAGCTTTCAAAGGGAAATAGAGCAGGAGTATAGAGAGAGAGAGAAGGGGTGGGGGACGAGAGAGAGAGAGAGGGAGAGAGAGAGTCTGGAGCGTGCGGAGATCGTATTCCTGGATAATACGGACTTTTGAATTCCGAATTCCAAACGGCGAAAGGAAGATATTGCACTTAACATGCCACGTGGACGGCGTTGCGTGTCCCCCATCGGAAGAGTGGTTTCCGGAGAAAAGTCGAAAGACAGGACGAATATACCCCCATGTTAGCGGTACAAATAAAATATACTGATATTTACTAAAACCCCAAAATAATTTGAAATTTTAATTTATATAATTTTAAAAAAATTCTGACACGAATACTTAGGGAGAGTTCATAAATTAGTAAGTTTCACTCGAAAATACACGTCTAAATTACAAACGTTACATGTTTCTATTTATTCTTATGCCCCCAATAAATCCCACTCTCGCCATCTCTCTTGCCGAGGAGGGCAACAGTGAAATTTCAAAAGGGTGAAGTGGGCCCCACACACAAAAGTGGAGTCAGCAGAGAATCGAGGGCCCGCGTGGGGCCCACAAGCGAGCGCTCACCGGCCACACCTGTAAGTAAATTACTTGTCTCGACGTCCCTCATTATGCGCGTCGGTGTCGTCATTCCTCCGCTATTGGGCCTCTCAGTGGCCCGGGCTTGGCCAGAGACTAGTTTCCAATTACAGGCCCACATAAATAGATGGGCTGTCATGCAGATGGATGATCATTAGACGGACACGTGCTGGTCATCGTTGGGATTCAGACTATTGGGCGAGATCATCTCAAAGCCCAGACATAATGGGAAGAAGAAACAGGCCAGGGCTCTGTTGTCTCTAGCTTGAAGTCCAAGCCAAAGCCCATTAAAAATCAGGCAGGGTTGGGTTGGATTGGGTTGGGCTTGGCTGGTCTGGGATGGGCTGGGCTGGACTGGGCTTCGGATTTCCCATTTACACCCTTGATCCCAATGTAATGGAGATCTAAGTAAAAAGTATTACTAATATTTGACATATCCAAAATGCTGAAAAAATAATGTTATTATGTTTATTATGAATCTCATTGTGTATGATTGAGATCAAGTCACATTGTTAAATCTGCAGCCCTTCATCTCAATCCCAACTCAATATTGATGCCTGTGATATCAAGTTGGATTCATACAACTTCAATGAAGTTGATTATTATGCACACTATTTACTAAATTAAATGGTATACATTCTGGACATTGATTTTCTGAATCACTACCTCAATCTCCATTTGACTCAAATCACCATGACATCATTATGATTCTAATTACCAATTTAAATAGAATCAAGAAATCTTGATCTACATCATTATTATGTGGTTATACTTCAAGAGATATTTGGATGATTATTTGAGCTTGGAGGGCGATGTGTAATATAGATTCTATGAATGTTGTGTACTTTCATTTAAATTAATGTGCCATAGTCTATAATTTAATTATTAATGAGATGAGTAGGTTTAGTGGAGTGATAAGTCTTCATTATCATGAGTTAATAATTAGTAAATAATATAGTTTTAGCCTTAACTCATGATAAATAGACTTATAGTTGTGTTAAAGCATGAAAAGTGGTTTTCAGTTGATTAACGTGAATTTTTGGGTAATTATGTGATTTTATACGATTTTTACAGTCTTAGTTTTGAGATAAATGAAGAACAAGAAATAAAAATAACAATATTGCAAAATGGGGGGACCCGCCGGCCAGCCGGGCCCGCAAGCGGGTCGGAAGCACAGTCGGGGAGTAGCCGCGAGCAGGAGCTCGAGCGGCTTGCTTGGATCGGTAGGGGCACGTGTATGCCACTCCCATTCCACGTCACCGGTGGTCAGCCAGCTGTGGAGCAAGGAGTGGTCGTACACGCGAGAGGACTTTGCCTAGAAAGCTAACTTTACTATATATTCGCCCGAATAATCCGCGCACAACCGATGTGGGACTAAATCCACCTTGTTCAGGGGGCGACCGCCGCGGGTTCGAATCCTCCCAGAGTCAAAATTCATATATTTTTAACTGATTATCGCGACTTTCCTGCAGATCGCCGGTGAAGGATTAAGCAACCGGAATCGCTGGATCATCAGCGAAAATCTCGTCAACGCGATTCGCGGAGCATTGCTACTAAAATTTCTGAACGATTCGCGATAAAAGGATCGCAATCCATCGAGTAAATCATCTCCGATTGATCGACGAACAAGCCGTCGTCGGGAAGAGGACGATCCGCCGGGAGACCAGTCGCCACCTCCTGAGAGCGTACCAGATGCGATGAAGAGCCTCCTCTTGCTGCGCGGACCTGAGGATGAAGCTCCCTAACACGCGCCTCACCTCCATCCAGCCCCTCTCCGTCGGGTGACAGCCGCCGGAGAGCCGCAAAGTCGCCGTTTTTCCGCTCCGCCGGGTGACAGCCGCCGGAGACGATTCGACGACCCACTTCATTGGTCTCTAGACTTCGCGAGAAGATCTAGAGATTGCCCACGTCGTCTTTGTCCAAGGAGAGCCTTCGAGGCCGTGGACACTACACGACGACCCTCCCGAACGCTCAGGATTCCGGTGCATCGCCGACGCGTCGCCGTCGCGACGCCGGAACTCTGTTTTCCTGCTTTATCTAGAGATTGCCCACGTCGTCTTTGTCCAAGGAGAGCCTTCGAGGCCGTGGACACTGCACGACGATCCTCCCGAACGCTCAGGATTCCGGTGCATCGCCGACGCATCGCCGTCGCGACGCCGGAACTCTGTTTTCCTGCTTTCAATTTAATTTACGCTTCATTTAGTGATACTTTGTTGATTTTTATTTACCAAACTATACTTCGTTCAACTACGATTCTTCCGGCTTTTACAGATCTTAATTTGATTAATTGAGTCGTCTGTAATCGCCTACGTAAGAATCGCCGGGCGGAACTCTGTTTCCGCTTGATTCGCGTTCGCCGGGCGCTGACGTCATCCTGACATCCGCACCCTTATTTCCTCTTTTTTTTGTGAATTTTAAATATATTTCCTTTTTATTTCCTAGTATAAAATTCGTAAGAAAATCGTACTCATTGAGAAAAATTCTGAATAATTACCAGATATTATAGTGATCGACCTGGAAAATTACCACTATTTTTGGGATTTGTATTGAATTATAATTGATATATTTATTTTGAAATACTTCTAAATATCCGAAAATTCATATTTTCTAGTTTTATAAATTTTAAATTTGCGTGATTTAATATACAACGACTGAGTCACGTCATGGAGTTTAGAACATAATATGTGAAAATTCAAGGTTTAAAATGGGCAAAGAAAGATCAAGGTTTAACTTTAAATGCCATGATTTTTGTGGGCACAAGAACTCATCATGAGTTTTGTGTGTAATTGGGCATTATTTACAATCCATGGTATCCCACTTTGTGGGCTCTCCTACTATTTTTATTATACCCACAAAGTTTGTAATTGGGCATTACTTATGTGAGGCAAGAAACTTGATTTTGTGGTTGTGTGCATCTCTCTCTCTCCCTCTCTCTCCCCATATATATATATATATGTCACTCAACCTCTCTCTCTCTCTGTGTTAATCTCAAAATTATTTAACTCTTGGTTTTGATGTTAACCATATTAAAAGTTTTATTAGAATGATTCACTAATCACATGTTTAAAGTCAATATAAATGATAATTATATATTTTATTTTTCAAAGGGTTTAAATAAGGAGTTTGATTGGTGACCTTCATTTTACGCTGATTGGTTGGTAAGTGCTTTCACATTGTGTGAAAAAATCAATTTAGTTTTTCAGATGAATGGCATTAAAATCAATTTCAAGGTTTCCAGCTTTATTTTTTAAGTCTAAATTGACACTTGAAAAGTTAATAAATATTTATACTACATCTCTCTCAAATACAGGCATGATATGCTTTAGAAGGCTCCTTGAGTA